CTTTAAATAAAAACACTCTCATCCAGTATAATATACATAAAATTGTTTATAAATAACTAAATTATAAGCAATTTTAAGTGAATTTATGCTTAAATTAAGATTTCATACAGATGAGTTAATACAATACTATGATAAAGATAATAAAAAGACCCAAAAAGACTTTGAAACTTATATGGTGGCGATTCCTTTGGGTAATCAATTAATAGTTTCATTATAATTATTGCCGGATAAATGGATATGGATGGAAAGGAATTTATATTATAGTTTAGAATTTCAAATAAATTTATAAAGCATAGCAAAATATTCACTTATGTTAATTTCTATAAAATACTATGAAGATATTATTAATTATATTTGATTAAAGTTAAATTTAATTATTTGTTTCTTTTTTTATTATGATCTAATTTTAAGTTATAATAAAAAGGATAGAAATCTTTAAATTAATAACTATAATGAATTAGAAAGGAATAGTTTTTTGATCTTCCTTTTTAGGTGGGAGAATTCAACATCAATGAACTTTTTAAATAATTTTATCATTATTCCTATTAAATACTAATTGATCATTTTTAATTTATGAGAATTTAAATAGAGTTATTGAACTCATATCAAATTAAAAGAATTCTATAGTTATCGAATTTGCAAAGTAGAATATACAAATTGTGAATAAGAGGAGGTGAAATCGAATAATTAACCAAAATTCTTATATTTCTAAGGCAGCAATATCTATGATATTTATTCAACTAGTGTTTTGCTTGCAAAAAGGATCTTAAATCAGATTTGTCTTATTTTGAATGAACCTATAAAATTAAACTCCATTGTCATTAAGAAGAGAACAGATAATTATATTTTTATATAAATATTATTATATTGAAACTAAATGATGAATATTAATAAAGAAATATCATATAATATAAATTTTTATCATCAAATTTTTGTTATGCTTTATTTTCTTAATCTTGGTTCCAAACTAAATTATCATCCCCTTAAAAAATAAATTAATATTATTAATATCATTTTATTTGAGGCGAAAGATTTATTTATACCTAATTAAAAATCCATTTTTTTATTTTATAAATAAGGCCTGACCTTGGAAGCAGCATAAGCTTAACTTTAAGGCACATTTTTGGAGGAAGATTCTACATTGCAATTATTTATGGATTAAGGTTTAATCATAATGACAAATTAGAATTTTTTAGTTGATTGATGATCTAAAAATTTTCATTTAGAAAGATTATTTAAATTGTAATAATATTACATTATTATGAAAGTACTAATTAACAAATGATTTTTTTTTCTAATCTAATTAATTTTATTTGGCAATATATTTGACTTTGAATAGAAAGATTTTTGATCATAATTAACAGGTTCGCTAGAGAAGAATCCAAATACATCACAAATTCTATAATTAAAATACTACCATACTTCTTGAGATAATTAGAGAATTATTTATTTGCTTTTACCATTAAATACTTTGAAAGAATACTCTCAATAAATTAGAACTTTAATAATCAATCTTAATATAAATAATTAATTGTTAAGAATTGTATATGTAAAGATATTTCATCTTTTTAGGAGCTGAGATTTTTAATACCATAAAAGCGACCATATTGACTACCATCATCATTATTTTTATATGTTCTCATAAATATATTAATCACCTATATAAATTGAGATTATCAATAACAATATTACTGAGTGGCTTGTTAGTATATCGGTAGTACGCTTGCTTTGGGTGCAAGTAGGTCGGGTTCAATTCCCGAACGAGCCCTTTTTTTTATTCTTATTTAGATTCTGATTTTATCATTATTTATAAAAATCTATTCTAATTTTATGTTTAATTTTGTAAAATAATTGATAGTATACATGTATAGTTATTATCATAATTGAAGTTTAAATTCATTTTGATGAAGATAAACAATAGTTATGATTATTTAAAGTAAATCTATATTAAATGATAGAAGCTTTTTATGAAGCAGTAATATTTTATTTATATATATCATCTATAATTAATGAAGAATACATTTACTAAGCTTATTTAATAAATTTCTAGATTTTTAAATATGGAGATAATTTTATGCGTTTTATTCACTACTTTATATCTGGGTTGATTGGTCATCCTTTTAGTTATAATCATAATCTCATGTATTATTCATTATATAAGAAAAATTGATTAAGGAATCTAAATATGATGAATCATTATGTATTTCTTGATACAAAGATAAAATAAATGATCTTATTAATTAAAAGTTTAAAATAATAATGATTATCTTAATTCATCTTTATTTTTCAATATAAAATGCTATAGAATGAATTGGAATGCTAGTATATCTATTTGAAAGGATTTCTTCAATTGTTTTTTGATTTGATTATCAAAAATATTTAATTACATGTTTTTTTTGATTTTGGTTCTAACTTTTCTTTTTCTGTTTTCATATTATGAAAACTTCAACCATATTATCATACACTTTTGTTAAATTATTCTAATTTTATTTTACAGAAGCAATCAAGATGCTTATTTTCTCAATATTTTCATCGAATACAGTTGTAAAATCTTAGGTAATTAGATTGCAACCATCATTATCTTAGTCTTTTAATAGATGATAAAATTAATATAATTCTTATTGTGTTTTGTGAAGTTAAGAGTTTGATCTTAATCTCCTTCAATATATTTGAAAGATCTAATTAATTTATGATGATAATATTGGTAGTTTTTCTAGCTTTATTTTTAAGTTAATCGCCTACTTAAAGTAAAATTATCTAAATTTTCATCTGTGAGTATTTAAAAAAGTGTCAATGTTTTGAATTTTGTATTTCTCATTAAGATGACAATATTTCTTATTTGATCATAGGCTTATTTTAGAAAATTAATGTGAGTTATTGATTAATTTCTATTTTAACTAAAAAATTGACACAAATCTTGCTTTCAGAGCTATTCTCTAAAGTTTTCTCTTATATTAGCAATGAATTAAGATTGTTAAAATATCCTGGTTGTTAAAATTTTTTATCTGATATAGAATGTTCTTGAACATTTTTCTCTGTTTTAATCATAATAAATTATCTTAAAAAATCTTTTTCTCCATTTAGACGTTTTTATATTAAAAGTAACTTAAGTTAGTTTATCAGTTCTATTAATCTTTTGGATAATTTAAATTATTATTTTATCAATTCAAAGGTTAAATAAGTTCTAAAGTCATCTTAAAGAATAATTTAAAGTTTGAGAAGTTTTTACTTCACATGACCTTGAGTGAGAAGACTAGTCAAATTTTAAAATTTAAAAGCCTGTTTATTCAATTAAATCAGTAAGAAAGACATCATAATATTTTCATTTTCTAACTTTGATAATAAATTATAAAATTTATGTAAATATATTAAAATTCCTAAATCAATAGTAAGTATTTTTCAAAAATTCAAAAATTAAAGTTTTTTAAATAGACGTAAGATTAAAAATTCAAATTTTTCTATCCTACTCATTTTATTTAAGATTTTATTCATAAATGGCATTTTAAAGATGAAGGCTCTAAAACTAAATAAATTAAAATTTTTATCCATATATATAGGAATAACTATAATTGAATTTCTATTTTTTTGAAATTTTATCTTCAAAATTCTTAATTTACTTGTAATTGTAATCAATATATATTATTTCAGAGATTCCAAATTATTGTTTATAATAATTTATATATATTCCTTAATCGATCTTTCATTCAAATGCTTATAAAATAAAGAGAACTAATTTTATAAGTAAATTTTCTTAGTATAAAAATATGCAAACTATCTCCCTTCATTTAATTGGAATAGGCTATTTTGTATTGATTATAATTATTTTATATCTTTTCCGATTAACACTTTATAATTGTTATGATGTTTGTGAAAGATACTCTATCTATGCAGAAATGGCTCAAAAATTTGATATTAAATGAAAGCATATGTCCAACTATTTCCAATAGCTCTTTTTTAATAATTTCTTTAGAAAACAATTTTTATAAATTAAAAAAATGCATATACAAAAGCAGAATGGGAGAGAATAATTCTGGCAAAACTTTTTCTAACAATAAGGTTTTTATTATCTTTCTTTAAATTTCTTATTTCATTTTTTGGAATAAAATTTTTTGAGTTATTCAATAATTTGTGATTTTTAATGTGCCATTTAATAATAATAATATCTTATATTAAATAATTAATTATTTAAAGAAATGAATTCATTGTTTGAATGGAAAGAAAAAACTTAGGAAATTCAAGGTTGGGTTTGGGATTATAAGAAAAAAGAATTTTTTTAAAACAATTACTAATTAACATTTACAAAAGATAAAAATATTATATACACCAAAAATGGTGCTATTTTAAGGATGTAATAATATATCTAAATCTTCCATTAATAGTGATAATATAAAAGATGATACCGAACAACCTTAGGTACTAAATAATTTTGAATAAATTAAATATCTTCAATGGATTGGTGAATTTGGATAAAGAGGAAAAAAAATTGGAAGATGGTCAATTTAGTGGAATGGGGAATTTCTTAAAAATGTAGGGGGACATTATAATGATGACGGTTAAAAAGATGGCAAATGGAAAGATATAATTTTTAATTATTGGAAGTAAAGAACTTTATATATTTTAATAGTAAAGCTAAAGTTTATGAAGTTGGCGAATATGTTAAAGGTAAAAGGAAAGGAAACTGGAAATATATTTATGAGAATAAGAAGATGTACAAAATTATTAATTTTAATAAGAGATGGGGGCGTGTATAATGAATAGGGCCAGAAGGAAGGTATATGGATTGAGTTGAGTGAAGGATTTTATTCTGATTCTCAAGTTATATACAATGGGGAATATCAAAATGGTAAAAAAGTTGGTAGATGGAATATTAAGAAAAGAGTAAAAAGTAATCAATCATTTTTTCAAATGTAATAAAATAATATAAAGTATGTTATTAATATTGTGCATGTTAGTGCTGGCGGATCATATGATGAAAGAGGTGACATAAAGATTGGGAAATGGATTGATATTTTTGAGGGATTTTAGTTTTCCTCTTAAGTAATTTATAGAGGTCAATATAAAAACGGCAAAAAAGTTGGTATGTGGGATATTTTATTGGTTTTCATACATTGGGATAATGAGAAAAAATAATAAATGTAAAAATAATATAAAGTGTGTTATTAATACTGTGCATGTTAGTGGTGGTGGATCATATGATGAAAGAGGAGATTGCATTAAGATTGGAAAATGGGTTGAGTTGTCTGCAAAATTTTGTTCTTTATCGAAAGTCACTTTTAAAGGTGAATATGAAAATGGAAAAAAGATTGGTAGATGGGATACCGCATTATCAGGAATTGAGATGTAAAATAGATTAGTTATTTATAATTCAGTGGTGGTGGATCATATGATAAAGAAGGTTAACAAATTAAGATTGGAAAATGGATTGAGTTAAATGATGAGTTATGTTCTGAATTTTATGTTACTTATAATGGTGAGTACAAGAATGATCAAAAAGTCGGTAAGTGGAATATCAACATTCAGCACATAAAAGATAAATGGAATGAATGCATGTAAAATATTATGTAACAAAATATTTAGTGGAGATGGATTATATGATTAAAAGGGAGATGGTATTAAAATTGGAAAATGGATTGAGCTATGTGATGGATTCAATCAACAAAAATAAATAACTTATAAAGGGAATTATTAAAATGGAGTAAAAGTTGGCAAATGGGTTATTTTTTTTAATTAGAAACTCAGAAATAATGAGAAAAAAAAGATGTAAGATATTAAAATGAAAAATTTTTAGAGGTGGAGGATTTTATGATGAAAAAGTTAATGGCATGAAAATTGGGAAATGGGTAGAATTATGTAATGGATTCAATCAGCAAAAATAAATAACTTTTAAAGGGAATTATTAAAATGGAGTAAAAGTTGGCAAATGGAATTTATATTTTTATGTCAAATAAGGAGATAATGAGAAAAAAAAAAAGATGTAATATATTTATGTAACAAAACATTAAGTGGAGATGTATTATATGATGATAAAGGAGATGGTATTAAAATTGGAAAATGGATTGAAATTTTGGATTAATTTAATTAGGCTAAATAAATAATTTTTAAAGGTGAGTATAAAAATGAAAAAAAAATTGGAAGATGGGATACTATTAAATTAGATAATCAGGCAAATCAAGTTTGTTTGTAATTTTATACATAAACTAAAATTTTAGAGGTGGTGGATCATATGATGAAGGAGGTAATGGTATTAAGATTGGAAATTGGATTGAACTGGACGATGACTTTTATTAATATTAGGATATTATCTATACAGGAGATTATAAGAATGGTGTAAAGGTTGGTATTTGGGTGAAAAGAAATTTGAGATTACCTGATAAATGCTAAGAAATGATATATGATTATTGAATAGTAATTATTTTTTTAATAAAAAATAATATAAAGATGAATATTGGCATTATTTATAGAACAAATTTTTACGAATTTGAATTAAGATATATATCTAAATTTGAAATTAAGTATTTTTATAAATTGAAGGAATTTATTGAACAAATGGTAAGTGTGCTAAATACATAAACAAAAACAGTAAACTGTGTATTTATATTGAGTTATTATTTATATATTGAAATATCATTAGGTTTTAGATATTTCTTATAATGGGGAATATAATTATCTTATACTTTTATATAAATCTCATCTTATAAAAATCTAGTGTAAAGCCATGTATACTATCGTAATCCAAAAAGACTTTGTTTTGTATTAACCTAAAGATAATGTATAAATGATAGGTAAAAAAATAGAAAACAAGTTTAAAAGGATAAGCTAAATCAGGTCCTGTACCATCATTTTTTTTTAAATTATACTGTAATAAAAATTCATTGCACTATTTACATAAATAATTTAGAAAGAAAACAATATGCCAGATTCACCTAATTGAGTACCTATAATAATTGTTTGAGGTTTGCAATCATAATACTAAAAGAACTCATAGAATCTTTGTGTTAAAGAAATAATAAAAGAGGAATACTAAAAGTTTTGTTTTAATTATGATTTTCAATTCAAATGAATACTTTGATTTCCTTTGTAAGCCAATATTACATTTACAAGATATCTATTATTAAGGCTCAAGTATATTTTAGAATAATAGTTAGAATTTTAGAAATAAGATGCAAAATTATGATTGTTGTTAATTTAAGATGATTGAAAGCATTCATATTTTTATTTCAATATTTAGATATGAATATCAAATTTCGATAGAGTAAGAGAAGCAAATCGACTTCCTCTCGTTATGGTTAAACTGACTTATTAAAAATATATATATAAAAATTCCACTCAAACATGGGTTTCCTTTTCAAGGCATTGAAAATAACAAGATATCAAGTATACTTTCAGGAGCAGACAAAGATGTAGACGGCTGCTCAATAAATTTACTAAGGAGATATTAATTTGTATTATGAGGAGAATGATTGGTTTTATATTGCTATATTTTCTCATATTTATTATATTTATATTTGTTATTACCATCAAC